TTACATGAATTTGTATTCCTTACTATCCTCATTCGAATATTGAAAAGCACAACTGTTCAGCTCTTTTCGTTAAAAATTTCTAACCATTCTATCCAGCGATGTTCTTTTTAAAAAATGATAATAGTTAATAATAATGTCTATTTATGTATGAAAAAAGATTTTGAACAAAGGTTGATTTTTCAGGTAAATGTTAGCAAAAAACTAGTTGAGAGTAGAGAGAAACCACCTGTGGAAATTCTATGTGAATTTCTTTAAAAGAAGACTATCAGTTATTATGCTGGAGGTGAGAGAAGGTACGTCGAATTTTCTCGAGGTGTAAACAAGACGCATGGACATGGACAATAACTAAAAATAATGACAATGTTAGAAGGATTTTTAAGTCAACAAAGAAGTGCCGAATGCAGAGAGGAATAAAAAAAACTAATGGATAGAATGGTTTAATCTAACCAATGTAAAAAGTGTAGATTTAAGAGTGATATAAAAAGGTTTGTTTTGATAGTTGTTATATATCCTTGAAAAAAAAGTTAATCAATAAAGAGAGCATGAAGAATGAAATCGAATTGGATAAACGTTTTTGTTATAGTTGAAGATAAATAGAAAGAATTTTATGAAAATGAACTTTTTATTAAAATAGATTAATCGAGAAAAAAAATGAACAAGGAACGTTTTGTGGATAAGAATCTTCTATTGATTATTGGAAGGTATGTCTTATTTAAGAAGGAAAAAAGAAAAAAAAATCTATTTGAATGAAAAAAAACAACAAGCACTAACCTAAATATGACAGGTAATAGAATTGTTGAAGGTGTTATTTGTCGCCAAGCAAATTGTCCAAGACGAGATGTTATGTCAACTGTTTTCATGTAAAAACATTTTTTATCAATATCGAAATTGTTTTCAATTAATTCTTCATTTCTATGTGATATTAATTTATCTAATTTAATTGATGATAAAGAATATTTATCAACCATTTGAACTTTTTTATTATTATTTATTTTAAATATATCTGAAATAAAAATGATCTCTTACTTTAAATAATCTTATTCAAGAATAATAACTGAGATAAAACGAATATTTATTATTCGAAATAACTCATAATTTACTCGATAGACAAATAAAACAAGTCTTTATTAAATAAAAGAGAATTTTCTCGAGACCATTATTATTATCACTAAATTTTAACAAGATAAACCTTCTATTATTTTACTGAAAAAAAATGTTTTCCCTAAAAATGAAATAGTCAATAAATTGATCTAAATATTGTTTATATATATATATAAAGAGTAAGAAAATCGAATCGAGTGAACAGACACGTATCGATAGAGCAACTAGATATTACTTGTCAAATAGCCAAATAAATGACGCGTGTGTGAAAAAAAGAAAGAAAAAGTGTATGTCACTGACATTGAGATAGAATGACGAAAAAAAAAGCAAAAAATCCCTGATTGATTTGTCGATATTGTATCTTACCTTTTCATCCTGATAATCTTCTATGAAAAGAAAAAAAAAAGAAAGAATATTAAAATTGTTTTCCGTAATAAAGTCGAATGATAAATCCAAAAGAAAAATGTTTTTATAATAATGATTGATTCGAACAAACATTTGAGATATTTGTGCATTTATTCTCCTACCAAAATAAAATCAACTCAATCAAGAAAAAGTAAAAATGTTTCTATCTTGTTACTATAGTATTTACATTTTATTGACTTACTTTTTATTCATTTTAACCAACTCGTCAAAACAACATTGACAAATTTTTTTTTAAAAATTAGTCAAAGATTTTCGACGAAATCATTCAGCTGATCATCTCGCCATAATCAACATTTTTCGTTTTTTTTTCTTAAGGCCAAAGACACACAAATAACGTCAATGGTATATTTAATGACCTTGAACGTATGTTTTTCGAGCGTGAAGGACTTCTCACGCATTATCGTTTATATAATATTTTAGACTGATCTCGATTAAAAATATCTTTTTATTATTATTTGATAAAAAATAAATCCTTAGTTGATAAATAATCGATCATTTAAATAATAATAAAAATATATATTCATATTCGGCTAAACTTCTAACTCATTTATTCTCATATAGGATAAATCATTTTGGCTTCTTCTCAAATATCAACCAATCCATACAAAGATTTCAAATTAATTTTCTTTATATTGAAATTCTTAAATAATCGAAATTAAATTAATTCGATTCTCGTCAATTATCTAACGAATTGAATAGAAATTTCTAAATAAAATCTTCAATGAAATAAGATGTTAAAACGAGCATTATATCCTTAAATGAGTATATTCAATAGTAACCATAGATGAACATTGATTTATTAGATTGGAAATTTAATTAGGAGAGGAAGCTTTCTATTATGTGAATATAATTATATTTAAATAATAAAATTAAAAAAAACAGAGATATATCCGACAGTTTAATTGTCGAACTATTCAAGAGTGGATTATATTCATAAAATAATAAATAGGAAAAAAAAAAGTCGGTTTTATCATATTGGTCTAAAACTATGAAATTATTTCGAAATAAATATTCTCATAGTGAAATATTCTCTAATAGAATATATCTGCACACTAACACTATTTAATTAAACGATTAAATCATATATCTATTATTTGAAAGGAGAATATAATATTATTATTATTATTATTCAAGAAGATTTTCATATATATTTTTTAATAAATTAATTTAGTGATTTAATTTTACAACTAAGATATAGATCTTTATATTCTAAGAGAAGATTTTTTTTTTGTTATAGTTTGAAAAAGTTTTATCCATAGAATAGAATTAATTAATTAATATAATTATTGAAAAGATAATTTATAAAAAAAAAATTCTATTATAAATCTTTGAATCATTGAAATAGGTGATGATAAACGTTTGATTTATGATGAAATTATATTTTTTTCAATCTGTTATTTTCGATTAATGTCAACATATTGTTTAATTGATTTAAAAAATCGAATTATCGATTTTGTTCTATATCTATGAAAAAAGTTTCAACGATCATTAGTTTATTTAAAATCCTAATCTCAGTTAAATTAATTTGTCTTTATCAACAAACTGATCTTATATAAAATAAATATTATTTATCTTTTTTAGCTAAATATGCAAGATTATTTTTACTAGATTTTATACTATCTTTCATTATTTCAATCGAATATTAAAATCAATTTTTTCTACTTACTTAACAAATTCAATAAAACACATCAATAATTAGTTCAACAACATTTATTAATTAAATAAAGAATAAATTCTAAAATAGTCATCTTAATTGATCTATTTAAGGAGACTACCCAACAAAATGTCTATTTTCTCATTTATATATGGTTAGATAGAGTTAAATGTCTAATTTCGAATGCACTATTCTTTATTGATCTAATCATCAGATTAAAGGATATTCCACAGGTTTTTCTCAACCTCCCATAGGATAAACTAGGGATTTTTCGAAAAAGTTTTGCCTTTTTCTCAAAATAGGATTTTTCATTTTTAAGTTTCCGTGCGTCCCAGATTTCTCTACCACTTTAAACGCTAAAAAATTCTGACTAATTCTAAAATGTAGCCAAGATGTGGCACTATAACTTGATAGAGTCGGACTTTTCGATATCCTCATTAATGTTTATAAAAAAAAAGAAACTTTTCTGTATCTACCTATATTGGTTTTTTCATATATCATCAGAGAAATCCTCTAAAAACATAAGCTAGGAGAGAATCCAAAAATCGGTCCCTGGTAAGTTATAGTGCCGCATCTTGGCTATATTTGCTAAGCAGGCCAATTTTTCTAGCATTTGAAATAGCGCAGAAATTTGGGATGCACGGACACCTAAATTTAGACCGATAACCTTCTGGTAACTCTTGGTAGACTCAATCTATCGAGCTGAAATTTTTATTGTGAGGTGTCTACCTCGAGATACACCTCGACTGAAAATTTCATCATAATTGGATGATCGAAAAAAAATTCGATTTTAGAGGGTAGGGCGTCCTTAACTTATAAACAAATCTAAATATGCTTTTTTTATTTTTTAATAAAAGTAAAAGTAAATATTTTATTTTCCAATGCAAAATTGAGTAAATAGTCCTAATCTAGACACAATTTCATCTAGCATAATATATATAAGGTAGAATATTGATTTTGTTTTTTTATCTTATGTACTCATCAAAATTCGAAGGGGATTAATGAAAGATAAATATTTTCGAAGGTGGTTATACTTTTCCATCTACACTGTTTAATAATCGAAAGAAAAGATTTTAGAATACATATTCATATATCGAATATATCGGAGAAAATTCATTAAAACCAATAATCATATTTTGTTTTGTTTCATTAAAATATATTACTTCAATAGAGATTTTTACATTGACCGAGTTTCGTTCTCTATAAAAGGACACCTATCAGATTAACATTTCCAGGTATGATTATGATAATTAAATTCTAGTCAAATATGTTTGACAACTGTAGAAAATTGCTCATTTTTGAAAGTATTTTAGTTGTTTGTTTTAAATGATGAGTATTTATTTGTAATCGATGTTTCGACTACATAAAATTCATCTTTTTCTTCTTTTCAATAGTTTCTTAGTTGAAATAATGATAAAAACATTTGTTATGAGACATAACTAATCTTGTCTAATAATTGATTTATGATTTGGTGTGAGAGATAATTCTATGAAAATATGTTTTTATATATCCTCTTTTTATTACTAAAAAACAGAAAAGTTCGTTATTTGTTCTTCTTATAAAAATATTTATTCAATAGTTTTCCTTATTTTATTTTGAGATTTAAGTAAGATGAAATTGTAAATAGAAACATATCTAAATGCTTTTTACAAGAAAAGCAAAATAAAATGAATTAATCTTGTGTTTTATGTTAATTCGATAGATTCAATATTTGTTTTATATGGTTAATCTTATCGATCATTGAAAGAAGGAGGAAATTGAAAATCTATATTATAAGATGAGAATCAAATATGTAAATCTATATTTTATTGAATTAAGATTGAAAATAAGGTTGTGATGATCTCTTCATATAAAGGTTAGAAGTTTGAGTTTGTTCTCTGTATATTATATTCAATATTAATTTTCTCATGCTTCTATCTATTAGAATCGAACCGAGTGTCATTGAGAAGTTTTTCTTCAACATAGTTGACGTTATTGAGAATATATTCGATTTGAATTATGATGTTTCTATGGAAAATCTATGTAAAATGTCGTATTCGTCAAATAATCGTTGATAATTGTTAATAATTTCCATATCGAAGATCGATTTGACAAGATTTAAAAAGGTGTTATTATTTTCGAGCATATAGATAGTGACATCTAGATTAAAACTGTGGTATGACTGTGCCTAGTTAAAACAATTTTCGAAGTTTAGTCTGATATATAATAAATAGTGACGATGACTATCCTATTTCTTTTATTTTGCTTTTTTTCTTATTATTGTTTATAGAATTGTATAAGTAGTTAATTACAATTTTATTCTATAGAGTTCGATTCTAACATGAAAAATGTCAATATATTTGGTTGTTTTCTATAAATATTTTTGATTTAGTTTGTGAGGACAACAAAAGTGAGGTATTTATCTTCGATAAATAATCATAAATGAATTCTATATCTTCTAAAAGATCGATATTTCCAGTAAGGTTACGATTAAAACATATTGTATAACCTATTTTATATTTTTTTCGGTTAGATTTTTAAAATAGAGAGAATTAGATAAAAGAGTAAACACTTTTTGAAATAAAGATTGATTCTGATTTTAATGACGATTTTTTTGTCTTAAATCTTATATGTCAAGTTACTCATTTATTTTCTGTGATGAAATATATATTATTTAGTTTTATCTATAACTTTGTTAATTGATGCCAGTTTAAGATAGAATTTAAACCAATCATCATTCAAAATGGCAATATTATAATATAAAGGTTATCATTTATGATAAATAAAATAAAGTTAATGTCTTAGATGAATTTTTCAATGATAAATATATCAGGTGAGAGAATAATCTACATTATAATTAACAATTAAGATAAAAGTAAATAAATATTGATATAAATATTAGTTTACTTTTTATATAATATATTCTCAAAATGACTCGGAATTTATTCTAAATTGTGTCTTATTGAAGTTATTTTCTGAAAATAATGTTAAATAATGAATATATAAGATAAAAGATAGAATTTGTTTAACGTTATTGAGATTTATTGAAGTTTTACTCTTTATCTTATATAGTGACAGGTGAACAATCTTGTTTCAATCTATAATTTAAAGTATTTGTTAAAAAATTTAGTAAATATCTGGTATAAATGGTATTATTTGATGTCAATACTAAAAAAAGCGTATGTTTTATTATCTGATATAATAGAGTGAAACATAGTAGTTACCATCTTTTAAATCTAAATATGTTTGTTTTTTTCGTTCGTCTTATATTGAATAAAATTGAATAATGTTCGAATTGACTAACATATATTTTAGATAAAGGTTTTAATCTCGATTGTACATATGATGATAATTTGTAAGAGATGAATATTTCCTGATGAATTATATTTAATTTGAAAATATGTCAGTATACTATTCTATATGCTGTTGCAATATTCATATTATGATTAATATAAATAAAATCTTTATTTTAATTTGTTAAAGATAAATAAAGATTAATATTCTAGAATTATTTTTCAATGAAATAAATAATTTATTGACGAATAGAAATATATATTTTACTTTCGAATTAAAACTATGAACAATGTATATTATATATGACGATCATTACCTTGAATATATTCTATAAAGAAAGAAATGATTTTTTTTTTCAAAATAAATAAACAAATTGACTAATTAATAATGAAAATAACTAGAAATTTTCAATCTGGTTTATTTATGTTTACCAATATCTATATGATTTAAAGGATAATAATCTCTATTGTTTAGATAGGAATGATTATTCTATGGATTTCCAGTCGAACATATATTAAGATAGAATTGTTTCTATAAATTATCTTTTTAATATAATGTTCTCTGCTACTCTCATAGAATCGTCTTGTGTCTTAGATCTTATTCAATAAATATTTTATTTTCATTTTCTCTTGTCAAAGATATTTTTTGTTTAAAATTTCTTTTAAAATCGAAGATATATAAACTTTAAAATAATAATTGTTAAATAAATAAAATGAGTAAAGAAAAAAAGCAATGATCATTGATTTAAAATCTATTTGAGAATTTATTCATAGGAAAATAACTAAATATAATAACAATTCAAATAAATTCAATTATTTATTTTAGAAAATTCTTTCATTGATATTTTATTTTAGTTAATTGAAAATTATTTTTTATCGAAAGAAGATTTTTATTTCCTAAAGGAGAAGAAAAAAAACGTTTAGAAATCGATGATATTTTAATAAAATAATCTCGTATAGAAAATGTTTTTATGCTAATATATTTAAATGTTAAATATAAATATAATCAATATTTAATTGAACATTCTCTTTACAAATTTTTATAATAAGAGATAAGTTATTCTTTATATATGAAGAATACATTACAAGAAAACAAAAAAACAAACTCATTTTAGTTTTTAAAAAAGTTGACAAAAATTTATAATTTTTTCAATAAAAATAAATAAATATATCATTATAATCTTATCTCTGTTTCCTTTTTGTTTTTATTTATTAAGGTGAAAAAAAAATCTGTTTGTTAGCAAAATCAATTCTTTTTATTTGAAACGAATGAGAGTAAAAAATGAAATGATGATTAACAATATATAATCGAACCGAAGAAAGACAAAAACAGGACATTCGAAATTTGTCTATTTATTTCTTTTATTAAAAAGATAGAAAAAAAAAAATTTAAAAGTAAATAAAAATTTATCCAACATAAATAAGAATAAGATAAATAATACAAAGACCTCCACATACGCCGATTAATTGTCGAAAAGAATGCCTAAAAAAAATAATTAGAATTATATAAAATAATTTTAAATATTTCATTAATAATCATACGTTAAATCATTTTGTTTTAATAAATGAGGTAATGTTTTGACTAAAGCTACATAAAGAAAAGCACCACTAGTGAAAGGTAAAACCCATAGTGTACCTTAACAAATATTAAATTATTTTAATAAAAAAAAAAAAAAAGAAAAAAAAGCAATACTATGAAGGAAATTTGAATAAATAAGAGCAATAGAAGCTCCAATAAGTCCTCCTAAACCAGTAATAAATTGAGCTTTAGTTGCTTGCCAACGATCAAAACCTGATTGTAAAAGAATAGCAAAATCTCCAATTTCATGAGGAATTTCATGAATTATTATTCCAGCAAGTGTTGTCACACCTATTAAAGGACTAACAGCAAAACTTCCACCAATAGCTGCACCATGTGTTACATTATCTATAAAATTTGCTAATAAATTTAAATAACCACTCGTCTAAACATTTTGTTTTTAAATTTTTTTTTATTATTTTAAAGTTAAACATACTTTTATTTTTTGTTCTGTTAATTGTTTAGATTTATAATTAAAATCTTGATAATTATCGTCTGGAAATATTTGTTCAATAATAAAAAAAAGAAAAAGACCAATAAGTGTCCAAAGTCCAATATATGTTGATGATGCATCTGGATGTGAAAATGCTTCTGGTAATAAATGCAAAAAAACATCAGCTAATTGAGTTCCAACAGCTATACTTAATAACATTTCCAAATAAGGTTTTTCTTCTATTTTATATTTAATTCATTTATTTATTTATTCATTAAATATTATATTTACTTTTTTTATTTTCATTAGGAACAATATAAAGAGGTAAAATCCCAAGAAGACCAATAATTGCACCACCAGTTAAGGCACTGATCCATGTTTGAACTGAATTATTGACTAATTCTCTTTCCATTATTTAATATGTATTAAATAACAAACAACTCTTCTATCTTTGTCTAAGGATATTCATCATCTTTTTTAGTCTTATGCAAGCACATAGTATATTTATTTCTATAGAGGCAGAGCAAATCGAGAAAAAAATCTATCTATATCTATCCTTTCTTCTCAACACATCTATGACTCATAGATATGCATATTTGCCAATAGAACATAGATAGTCGACTCGTTGGTTGCATGTTCTTTTTCTCTTGTTTACATAAAAGATTGTTGTTGACCATCTCATCGAGATATATATTATCGTATTATTAACGAAAAACAACCAATACTATTCTTAGGTTTTTTAAATGTTCTATTATTGTTTAGCTTGTCTATTTTAAATTAGAAAATCGAAATTTATCAACTGAGTATTATTGAACAAGATGACGAATATCCCGAAGTGATCAAGATTGAGTAAAGAAATCGAGAATTTCTCCAAGGGGTTGATCATTTTTGTGAGAGTCAATCATTAAAAATAACTAAAAAGAAAGAAGATTTTTTTTTATTTTCTAAATTATCGAGCAAAAAAAAAACTAAAACTAAGAAGATGATAGTTGACTCTCTTCTTTTCCGGTCAGGACACGTTGGTCAAGAGACAATTGAGAAATTTTTTTAAAACAAATATTTTATTTTTCGTCAAAGAGAATTAAAATAAATAAATTGAAAATGTTTATTTGCAAAAAAAAAACAAGGCCCATTTCTCGTTTTTTTCGTTCTCATCAATAATTTTTCATGCATGAGAAAAAAATAATTTCCAATGATTGGAAAAAGTTCTGGTAAAAGATAAAAAAAGACTCTAAACTTTAATCAGAATGGCAAATCACGACTTGATTAGTCTTCGTCTTGAGAAGCTAGAAAGTCGAACATAGATTTTTTCTTCAGATCCGAATATATCAACATAGAAAACAAATCTCATTAGGTTAGACCCTTCATTTGACAGCTCACTCCTGTCTCTATCATCAACAAAATATTTCATCTCAACTCGTTTTAGTTTGTCTCATTTATAAAAAAATCTCCATATCAGAGTTGATGGGAATTGTCGAAAAGTAATCGATATCTACCGATAATTTAAACAATTTGCTTTTTTATTTAGTCAAGTGAGTTACTTCCTCTAATCATATTTACCTTGAAAACTACCCGATCTTAGTCATCAATCGAGAAAATATTCATACGAAGATATCGTTTGAGACAATGGATGGTTGCCTCTCCGCCTCAATATAACAGTCAATTGAACTACTCGATCTGTGGCACAGTACAATCGTAGACATCTTTATTTGTTAACAAGAAAATAGATATTAACGCATATAAATAATGAAAAAGCAGAAAAATCTTTTATTGAACTCTAGAAAAAAAAGTAAGTCTTTTCATTCTAAATCCATTGCATAAAGGTCTATCGATTTCGGGTTGCTATTTCCGATTAGAGTTTGCAGAGTTCGATTTATATTGAAAATATAAGGAAAAAATATTTAAGTTAATGTAGTTTTTAACCGGTAGCGGTAGTTGTTAAAACTATCATATATTGATGATCGTAAATGAATTATCAATTGACGCCTTAATTATAGATTAAATTGATAAACGAATCCAAGTTGATTTTAGTGTTTATGATGTTTTTTCTTTTTTCTCAAAGATGATCTACGAATAAATGTTTCTATTCGTTTTCTATTGATTTAAGAAAAAAAAGGTTTTTATGTTGATTAAATTATTTTCTAATTTTATGATAAAATAAAATAAACTAAAGATAAATAATGATAAAATAGTTCTTAATTAAATCTATCTATCGAATATTATTTTGAAATTATTTTCTTTCTTAATAAGGTTCATTTTTATTTTGAGGAATCAAAATAAATAATTTATTTAATTGATTTAAATAATTATTTTAAATATTCGATAAAACTTTTATATTTTAATATAGATTTAACTTCAATATAAACAAGATTTATTTATCTTTGTCTTTGGAATTTTTAATATTTTTTAAAATAATTAATAAAGGAAAATGATTTTAAATGATAAGAATTTATCTCTAATGATATTTTTTAATGTTTTACTCAACATTCGATAAAATCAACTCTTTAAATATATAATATATCATTAGATATAATTTAGTATTTATTTAATATATTTATTTATATATAAAAATGTCTTTGTTTTATTTAATGATAATTTGAAAATTAATTAATTTATTTATTATCTTTTTTCTGATATTTTCTCGTAATTAGTTGAAGTAAAACAAGATATATTTCATTTAATTATTTAAAAAAGAATTTAATTATAGATTTGAAATATTTCAAATAACTATAATTTACTCTATCAAGAATATTTTATCCAAATAATATTATTTCGAGAAAATATTTTTTATAGAAACTTTTTTATTGATTCAATTTTTTGAATTTTTTACGAAAAAAATTCACTTTATTCACATTGTCTTCAAATTATTATTAGACAAGCATATGAAAAAACTTTAATTCAACTAATTAGATAAAAAAAAATCTAACATCAATCGAATATTTCATTTTAAAATCTTTGTTTATTAATCGAGGTAATCACAAATAAATATAAGATCACCATTCATATAGATTAAATTCAACGATTTTTTTTTTCTAAAACCTTTTTTTCTCACCGTCATATTAAAATGAATGTTTACAACAATTTAAACTCAAATAATAACTCTTTTTTTTACAGAAGTCCAACTAGGCCACGGTTTGGAGGCCTGGATAGCTCGCCAAAAGCTTGTCAACTTTTTCAACCGAATTAAATAATGATGACAGACTAGAAACTAGAGGTCCAAAAAAACGCACTAGGGTTACTATCCTACCCGAGTCTGATCTGTTTCTCATAGGCACGAGCCTCCATTTTCAGATCAGTGTAACCGATAGGCCAACAATTTTCTTCGACCTGTGATTGACACTGATCTGAAAATCGTGGCGCGCGTCTATGAGAAGCAGATCAAGCCCGGGTTGGATAGTAGCCATAGTGGTCTATAAGGCCTCCAAAACGTGACCTGGTTCGATCTCTGTTATTTTATTTCCTCATTTGTTCCTATTCATAGAAAAATATTTGATAAAACAAGTTAAAAACTTCTCATATTATAATGAGAGGTCATTTATTAAATAAAATTTTCATATTCTATCAGTGATGACCGGTTTCGAGCTTGCTAAAGGGTCTCTTTAGATGACTTCAGATGTTGAGATTCTTTATCACTCGTATAAGATAAAAATAAAACATAAATTAGTCACTGTATAAATAAAATTCTATAAAAGATTAATATGGAACTGAATATTGTCTCTAGTCAGAATAAAAAGATAGTTGATTTTGTTATTATAATATAATTGTTATTATAATGAAGACTAGTCCGAATATCTAAAATTGATCTTAAGATATCATTAGCAAGGTCGAAACTTGTCATCAAAGATATAAGATGAAAATTTAATATGATAAATAATCTCTCAGAATAAAATGAGAAGTTTTTAACTTGTTTTATAAAAGATTTTTCTATGAATAGGAACAAATGAGGAAGTAAAATAGTATTAATTATTTTAGTTTCAATTCTTCTAAATATGTATTTTAATATGATGGTGAGAAAATAAGGTTTTAGAAAAAAAAATTCTTGAATTATTTCTAGATGAATGCTGATCTTATATATATTTGGGATTACCTCGATAAATAATGAACTATTTATAGTTTTATTGATAAATATATAGTCTCAAATCTATGAAATAGTTTAATTCGAATTTAACTAAATCAATTATAATCATAGGACTAAAACAAATAAATAGATAATTAACTGATTATTGATTTAGTCTAATTTAGAAAAATTTTTTTCTTCAATATTAATTAAATGTTTATGATAACTATGGTAGAAATAATTGATTAACTATAAATAGGAAATATAACATCACATTAATATATATTCAATAGTTAGTGTGGATGGAAAACAAAATGTTAAACAATAAACAACATTTTCAATAGGATTAATTAAAATTATTATTTAATCAAGAGTAAAGACATGAGATATATCATTATTAAATAATCATACAACAACAAAACCGAATCTTGTCTATGTTTTAAAATCTTTTACTTTAATCATGTTATTTTATCAAGAAGAATTTCATCGATTGGTTTTTATTTTCTATTGTTTAGATTACATTTTTACCCAAAAAAAAA